AACCATTTAAAAAAAAAAAAAAAAAAACTGACCCTGACTACATTACATTACTGTATACCAAACTGTGTTGGATCGAATGTAAAACCATGAAGCAAAACTGCATCACAGTTTGATAAGGGGCGTAACATTTCCGTCACACGCTTGAGGTATTCAGCCAATCACAACGCACTGGATAGCTGGCCAATCAGCGTACATCTCGCTTTTCAGAACGATGAGCTTTGTAAAAATTGACGCGTTTCAGGAAGACGAGGCATACAGGAGCAACAATAATGTGCATTGTGTAAAATAATTTGTTTTTTTAACACCAAAATACACAACATAATGTTCTATTTAGCAACGTCATATGACCCCTTTAAGAATGTCTAAGTCATCAGATTCTCACTGTGATTTCTCTTTCCTGCTGTTGCATAGAGCTGATGACCTCTCCAGTGACCTGTGTCTGCAGGGTGTAGCGGTTCAATCTCTGCATGGAGACCGCGAGCAGTGTGACAGAGAAGAGGCACTGCAGGACTTTAGAGATGGTATGTTAGTAATCAGTAAATAGAATTTCTGAGACACCAACAACACCAGAATTGTAAAACTGCTGACCCCATTTTCCTTTAGACAAACAAGTCATTCCAAACTCAGTCAATTTAGTCAATGTTGTTTTCCAGCTACTCAAACAAACACTGTTTGGCTAGTGGTGCATAAAATGCATACTTTACAACTACGACTACTTTCGGTGTAGTCAGCGGTTGTACTGAGCCCCTTAAGATTGTAATTGAAATTGATCTGTGAGATTTTCATCTGCCTATCCGTGGCTGCTGTCAAAGGTCGCGTGCGCATTCTGGTGGCGACTGACCTGGCCTCACGTGGACTAGACGTTCATGACATCACGCATGTTTTCAACTATGACTTCCCTCGGAATGTGGAGGAGTATGTGCACCGTGTTGGGAGAACAGGTCGAGCAGGGTGAGTGAAGCAGTGAAAAGTGTGACTGAAATGACAGTTACAGTAAGAAGTGTGATTATGCAACCATTCAGGATCATTATGTAAATGAGTCCATGTCTTTACTCAGGAGGTCCGGTGCATCTATAACCCTGGTAACAAGAGAGGACTGGAGAGTAGCTTCTGAGCTGATCACCATCCTGGAGCGATCTGGTCAGTTCCCATCATCCATTGCACTTACACAGCTGAATTCACTGATCACACAGCCGTCACTAATCACACGCTCACCTGAGAGCCATTACTCACTCTATTTAACACTCTCTCAGTTCCTGTTCAGATTGCCGTGTATTGTTCTGCGTTTATCACTCATCTAGCGATAGCTGCATTACCGAGCCTGGTGTCTTGTTTTCCTTGTTTTCTTCGTCTTGCCTTGTCTGTTTCTCCTTGTTCTGATCACTGGCTGTGTACCTGGATTATCCCTCGAGTCTCGCCCAATTGGATACTGTTCGCCCCTGCCTGGACCTTTGCCTTGATTATCCCTTTATCCCTCTTGCCTTGCCATCAATATACCTGTTTGCCATTGTCTGACCTATGTCTGTTTTTGACCACGTAATAAAGCCTTGAAACTTAAATGAGAATAACCATTTTTTTAATTCCACGAAACAGGATATGGGAGGAATTTCTGCAAGCACACTTTCATGTTCTACTGAAATGATATTGCATAATATAATTTCTATTATGATCACTTGATGTGGTAATCAGTCTGTGCCCATCCGTTTGTGTGCTTGAGAAAGGTGTTGCGGGGAAATGCTGCTCTTTTCTAAAAATGAAACTTGGCATTTATCCAATGCCAGAGGGAGTGGCCATTTAATGTGGCCATACTTTCCTCCCCCCACACCCCTGTAATACTGGCACCTTATTCAACAGTTCAACAGTTGTGCAAACATTAAAACCAAACGCTCACTTTGGAACAGGTTATTTATTACACTTTCAGCCTGATTTAGTGTTTTAGTGTTTGATCTTGATTTGGCATTTCCATAATTGTATTAAATTCTGCAAGAGCCTAATGTAATGTGGATACTTTTAATAGTTATTCTACTCTGAAGGTGCTGCTTGAGGATCGTTCATCCTAAAACCATTTAAAAAAAAAAAAAAAAAAAAAAACCCTAACAAAATTCAAAAAAAGTTAAAGGGGTCATAGTCTCAAATCCAAAGAGATATTCTTTATAAAAGTTAAGACTTGTCCATGCCCTCCTAAAACGCCTTGTTCAAACACGCCCCCACATGTCAGAGTCAGAGTAGCTTTATTTTCATTCCAGCTCTATACAGTTAGTATACAGTGAAACGAGACAGCGTTTCTCCAGGACCAAGGTGCTACATAGACAAAAAACACAGAACACAGGACTACAAAGAAACTAAACTGGACATAATTAAATTATATTAAATAGGCTAAGTAAAAGTTAAATAAGAACTAAGACTATTAAAAAAAAAAAAATGTCCAAGTCACTGTGTGGGAATATTTGCATAACACTGCCCAAATGTTCATGCAAAGTAAGAAGGCGTAACTTTATTGTTGCTGCCACCGCCGCTGCCATGTCGTGGAGACGCTGTGTGTTTCATTGTGAAAGCAAAACTACTTTGTTTGGTCTTCCAAAAGAGGACACAACTAGAAATCAGTGGTTAAGTTGTATTTACAACACTGTTCCAGAACAGTTCAACCCAAATATTCAGATGTGTGCAGTGCATTTTACGGAGGACTGTTTCCTGAACCTGGGCGAGTAGCCTACAATGCTTCTGTGCACAAAGGCTGTTTCTATAAAGTGGGGCAATTCCAACTTTGCAAGGACAGTCTGGCGATTCTGACTCAGCCTGCAAGTACGTTTTCGTATTTAAAGAATTTGCCACTGATGATTCAAACGCGAGTTTTGGGCAGTGTAGAGTGGCGTTTGTCGTTTCTCCGATCACAAATGCAGACATGGTTTTATGTTTACGTGGCGTGATACGCAGCGCAATGCGTAAAAAGACAGTATAAGTCATTATAATCAGTAATTATGTCCCCACTGGATGCAACAAATGCCTCGGGTTTTATTGGTTTTGTCTCGTCACTCCAGGACACCGCATCACAGTTTGATAAGGGGCGTAACATTTCCGTCACACGCTTGAGGTATTCAGCCAATCACAACGCACTGGATAGCTGGCCAATCAGCGTACATCTCGCTTTTCAGAACGATGAGCTTTGTAAAAATTGACGCGTTTCAGGAAGACGAGGCATACAGGAGCAACAATAATGTGCATTGTGTAAAATAATTTGTTTTTTTAACACCAAAATACACAACATAATGTTCTATTTAGCAACGTCATATGACCCCTTTAAGAATGTCTAAGTCATCAGATTCTCACTGTGATTTCTCTTTCCTGCTGTTGCATAGAGCTGATGACCTCTCCAGTGACCTGTGTCTGCAGGGTGTAGCGGTTCAATCTCTGCATGGAGACCGCGAGCAGTGTGACAGAGAAGAGGCACTGCAGGACTTTAGAGATGGTATGTTAGTAATCAGTAAATAGAATTTCTGAGACACCAACAACACCAGAATTGTAAAACTGCTGACCCCATTTTCCTTTAGACAAACAAGTCATTCCAAACTCAGTCAATTTAGTCAATGTTGTTTTCCAGCTACTCAAACAAACACTGTTTGGCTAGTGGTGCATAAAATGCATACTTTACAACTACGACTACTTTCGGTGTAGTCAGCGGTTGTACTGAGCCCCTTAAGATTGTAATTGAAATTGATCTGTGAGATTTTCATCTGCCTATCCGTGGCTGCTGTCAAAGGTCGCGTGCGCATTCTGGTGGCGACTGACCTGGCCTCACGTGGACTAGACGTTCATGACATCACGCATGTTTTCAACTATGACTTCCCTCGGAATGTGGAGGAGTATGTGCACCGTGTTGGGAGAACAGGTCGAGCAGGGTGAGTGAAGCAGTGAAAAGTGTGACTGAAATGACAGTTACAGTAAGAAGTGTGATTATGCAACCATTCAGGATCATTATGTAAATGAGTCCATGTCTTTACTCAGGAGGTCCGGTGCATCTATAACCCTGGTAACAAGAGAGGACTGGAGAGTAGCTTCTGAGCTGATCACCATCCTGGAGCGATCTGGTCAGGTAAACACACCTGCAGGCATCCACTCCTTTCATTATGTTTGTTGAACTCTGCTATGTAAAGAGCACAAATCCTCAACTTCTGACTGACTAGTTAGAAATCTGAGGCGTGGTTGTTTGTAAGCATGCAAGTTACATGTGTATGGTATGAAAATAGGGATGTACCGAAATGTCTGTCACCATTTTAGTTAACCCCTTGCAGTTGGGACACATCTCTCTTTGTATGTATTGTGTGAATCTCATGGAGAATCTAGACAAAAAATGCTTTAGTAGGGATGCACGATATATCCATGGTCATATCGTTATCTGATGAAAGAGACTTCTTGATGTCATCAGTATCAATCCAATAATTAAAATAGTTCAATATATTTAAGACAATGAGTGAGTCAAAGTATCATGGGCCCCTACTTTGTGTACTGCAGATTTAAAAAAAAAAAGTATTTTCCATTGTACATATTATTTAGTGCAAGTCGAAACTTTATTTTCTATTCAGACTTTCCAAATTCACGTTGATATTTTTGCATCCTTACATTATAGTTAACAGAGTTTCAAACAAAAGCTAGTTTAAAATGAAAATGTTTCATCTTTGGGATCAGTGTGTCCAGTTTTTGCTTAATACAAGTATCATTTGTATGGAAAAACAACTGTTCATTGCAAAGTTTGGATTCAAAGATTTATTTGTCAAGCGTTTAGTTTGGATGAAAGTGAAATCTCTTGAGGCCCGTTCACACCAAGCACGAGAACTATAAAGATAACGATAAAGATATAGTTCTAAAAATCGTTCTCTATTAAAAAATAGCATGGTTCACACCACAATTATAACGATACAGAGGAACGATATCGTTGTGATCACTTTCAAAATGATTTTTGTTCCAGCTGATGAACAATAAAACACTGACAGACAATCAGAATCCATCCTGCTATAACGAGCTCAAGAATTTAAAGCGGCAGACGCATGTGCGCTTAGAAAAAAACAGACAATATCGTTCGCTGGTGTGGACGCTAATATCGTTATCTTTATAGTTATCGTTCTTGGTGTGAACGGGGATTTATTCCTTACCCTACCACCTGATCAGATCTGATCTTTTGGTTAAGTTTCAAAAGCCTCAGTAAAAAAAGGTCTTAAAACAAATTTAACTGTAAAACAAATGACTTTTTGTTACGTATATATATAGAATAGAGAGAGAATGCTTAATTCTGTTGAGATTGTCTTTAGTGTGTTTACTATATATGTATACAACATGCTAATGGAGAATCTGGATAAAGGGAAGCATCTTTCCTTTCTTTAGGATGTACCAGAAGAACTGGTACTGATGGCTGAACGTTATGAAAAGCACCAGAGGGAGAAAGCAATGTTTGCGCCCAGAGGCAGAGGAGGAGGAGGAGGAGGGGGAGGACGGAGAGGTAGTTTTAGAGGAGGCTCAGATCGGTGGTTCTGATCGATTGAAAGGTAGTATTTGTTGCATTAATTTATCTTGCTGCTTCAAGTAACATCAGTATGAAGAAAATGTTTTATTTCACAATAAATTTTTAAGATTATTTAAACCATCATTCAACCAAAATTGTTCAGTGTTTACAAGATATTTCCTAACCAAATGTGTGCTTTTAAGCATTTGTATCTGTTGTACCAGCAGTAGTGTTAATCTTTAAATGTATCTTTCAGGTTGATCTCACTATACTCACTGGAGTTCATTCATACGCTTTTAAAGTGTTGATCTTCTCATTTGTAGAGAGCCTGTGAAGTCCTTGTAACTGACCATTTAAGTTTTGTTATGTTTAAGAAACTCTGATTCATTTTGCATGCATAATATTTCTTTAATATAATTGTTTTTCCCCCAGTTCAGTATTTTTTTTATTGTTATCCTACATTGATGTGAGGTAAAATGCCTCCAGTTGTAGATGATGCAACAATCTTGTTCAGCTGAATGCATATCAAATAAAAGCCTATAACACTATTTGGAATATGTATTATTTAATGGTATTAAGCAACAGTTGACTATCAATATGAAAGAACAAAACATACAAATATACTGAAAATCAGAATTAATTGAATATAGGAAAGTTGTTATTGCGCTGAATTTCAATTGCATTTGCCAGGAAATCACAGCTACTCGGAGAGGCTTGATGTAAGAGATTATGGGATGGAATGAAAAAGTTAGGGAGATGACGATTTCTCAGGTGTTTCACAAAGTCTTCCAAAAGCTGCTGGAAGCAGTCGGCCAGCTGACTGTATGCCCACTCGTTGTCATTTCCCCTTGTGGCACAAGCATGGAGAAGGGTGGTCTTTGCATGATAGGAGCAGAAGCTGGACAACTTATTGGATTTGGAGTCGTCCTCTTTGAGCTGTTGAAGAAGATACTTCAGGAGCTTTAGACACTCCTTCCTGTAGAAGTAGAGCAAAGTTCAGTTATTTATTTTATTGTAAATGTTGCGGATTTAGTGAACACCATTGTATTAATGCAAACAATGTAGCACCATCACAACAGACAGTTTTTGCACTTAAATTTTACCAGCATCAAAGCTTGGCACAAGAGGAACAGAATAATAATTACCGGCAACATTTCTGTCCAACGTCTTCACAGCATGTCTTGGAGTGGCCATGCTTTTTCAGGATTTCTTTTTCGACGTGTGAAAAAGAAATTCGCCAGGCATCTGTGAAAAGGGCCACAGTATCTTGGTTCATATAAAACAAAACGAATAACTAATGATGATGATAAACACTATACCTTTTGCAACAACTCCATCATGCTCTGTGTTTCCCTTTCCCTCATATTTAGGCACCAGGTAGAATGGTTGATGCTTCATATTAGCTTTCTCCTTTTTACCAAGCCAGTTTTCTATTTTGAAGCCATCTTTTGTAAAGTCTGGCCAGCTTGCACGATGAACCTTAAGACCAAGAACGAAGTCTACAGAAATAGTCTTTCCGTTTTCTTCCATTTTTACTTTCAGCGTCACTGCAGGGCATTTCGGCTTTTTTCGCTGCATCTCAATTTGGTCTACAGAATGCAAAAAAATATAAATATTATGGGTTGCATAAACTTAGCCACCATGTTAACTGACTGGCTAAGTTCATGGCAACAACACCATGAACTAGTTTGACCAACTAGCAGTTGCCAAGGGGTTATCAGTCTTACTTTTTCAATACAAATAAGACCAATCTACCTTTTCATAACTGAATTAAAAAAGTTATGAGGGGACCGGTCTTGAGGGGAAAAAAATAGACTAACTTTTTAAGACTAGTCTAAACAGTTTATGCAACCGGCCCCAGAATGCTTAAATGGTTGTAGCCTTTTGGTTTAGAGCTGGTGGGAAAGAGTTGGTGTGTTGTGAATCACAAGTAACTATTTACTGATTCAACTGAAACGTGCCATATAGTTTTGAAAATGGCAACATTTCCACTTCCACTAGTTTCATTTTTTTTCCTCATCCCGTAACACTAAGAATAAATGTTTATGAATGTTTCTGTTGTTCTTATTTTTCTTAAATATCTATAAAAGGAATATTTCTCGGGCTACAAGGACTAAGAGATAATCGACAATGAAAATTCATTATGGGTTAATCGCAAACGGGGAACATTCCACAGATACGTCACGTTACGGTGCTGAAAACCTTGTGGGGGTGGGGGGAGTAAAGTCCCTTGTAATGCTCACTCATAAGGGTTATTTATTTGTTTGTTTGCTTATTTATTTTTTGTGAAATGGTCTTTTGTGCTATTATCTATGCAACGTTGGTGCAATAATGTAACATCATAGTTAACAATTATTGTTTAGGATATATATATGTAATGTATTTTATATTATTTAGGCACTTATAAGCTATAGTTTGACAGAATATCTGAAGGCCATATACCATAGTTCTTAACAGTAGCATTTGTTATAATAAGATTAGCCTATTAATCATTACCATGCCAATAATAACTTTTTTAATTAATCCATATAGCATTTGTTATGAAGAAACAACCGCCTGCACATTTAGAACCAATAGCTACAACATGCACAGTTGTAATATAAATCTATAGGGAAAAATCTATTCCCTTAACAGATTATCTAATATAAATTCTACAACAAGTTTGACTAAATTTTACACAATAAATAAGCTTACAATAAATTAGTAGTTTAAAAAGATTTTAATATATGTTAGTATTGGTTCAAGACTGTTTTCTCCTCTTTTCCATAGCCACAGGAACATTTTATCTGGGGGTGGGGCCATGGTGGGGGATTTTTGACAAAATTCTAGTATTAAACACAGCCTAAACTCATAGATTAACATACAAATGAATGAAGACCGTTATATGTGAACCAATATACTGTATATTTGTGTTTTTGTGATTTTAGTTCAATAATTTTTTCTTTAATGTTTCTATTATTTAAGGGGATTTTACTAAATATTAACATCGCTGATACTCCAAAGTTTTGGTCAGTGCACTTTGGCAAATTCTCTCATCAGAAACAAGTGCAGATGTACATGCGATGTAAATAAGAGATTAATTCATCATACACTGCAGACAACATCACTGATTATAACTGGAGCTTTTTTTTAGAGTGCTTAAACTCACGCTAGACTGAATTCACTAATATTCTTTGATAATGTAATGTTCTTTGCTCGCTGTATAATTTGTTTGTTGTTTGAAATATTGTGGACATGCAGCATTATAATTGAACTTCAAATGTATTTTTATTAAACGTGATCAGGTTAAATACAAATTCAGTCTAATTAAAATATTTTGACATAATATGGTAGCCTACACACACAAAAAAAGATTTTTTGATGCTGTTCTCTTTATTTAAACAGTTCATTTTGATTTAACACCATATATCAAGTTTGTCATTCAAACATGACTGCATCTTGAAATGGTTGCTTTTTGGCTTAACTTGATGTTTCCATTTTGAAAGAACATGTTTCAATCAAGTACCTCAAAATAAGTTTTACACTTTCCATCATGCTTTGCACAGGACTGGATATGGGGAGAGAAAATGTTGAAATAAAGATGATGTGATAATAGGGAGACTTTTTCATGTCTAATGCTCTATTATGTGGCCATTTTAAAAGACTTTCTATTGGTGTATTTTGTGCGAGTTACCATTGTGGTGAAGCGTGGAGCATGTGGTTGGGTTGAGGACCTGCTTAAAAAAAAAAGTCTAAAATACTTAAATTTAAAAAAGCGACACCAGTGAGAGTGCTAGTGCATGATGTACACATAGTACCATCCTTAAACTGCCAACAACTTAACATCATATGTGTAAAGAAAAGTTATATCTTACTTGCTAATGTTTTCATAACACTTTGGCTGAACTTGCATGGACAGTGGTTCTACATGATGTAAACATATTATCTCTACTCAGATATTTCATGTAGGATGAACTAAAGCAAACTGAGTAAACTCAACTAAAAGTAGACATGTCCTAATAACTTGATTTATTCATGTCCAATTAACATGGTACAAACACGTGGAACCACTGTCCATGATTGAATCATGTTCAGCCAGAGTCATATTTTTGAGTGTACTTGCCCAAAACGTTTGAAGTGCGTAGTTAATAATTACAGTGGTTTGAGCGCGTTTGACGAGACTAGAGTGCAATTAAAGATCTGTGCTTATGTGACCATCCTGAGAAGCGAGAAAGCTTTGGAAAACGGCTCATAAAAAGGACGAGGACGTGAATGGTTTTTACAAGTCAGAATCTAAAAGTAAGGTAATATCGAAATGTCAGTGAAAGTCACACAGAAAGTCACATTTCTGTCAGTGTGAGGGGGAGATGTAGGGACGTGGGAAAATGCAACCGCACTATATATTTCTGGTCAGTTTAATGTATAATTAATCACAAAACTATCACAAAAAGTAAGTATCTTGGGGATGATTGAGGGGCGCAAGGGGAATCTCAGACCTGGCCCTGTGGCGGGGGCTGGAGCACCCACAGCACCCCTAGTTCCCACGACCATACTCTTTTCATCAATCTTTTTAGTCATTTGCTTTTTTTAGATACTGTTTGACTTTCTCCATAGCATTTAAAGTGGCTGTTTCTCTAAATAATTCAGGGGGGGGGGGGGGTGCTTGTGCCCTGCTTGTGGGCATATTGTTGTGTTCAGATGTTTGATTTATTGTTGATTAATGCGCTAAAGAGTTGTTTCCCCCAACTTGATTTACAATTTACGCTTATATTCGTGTCTGTAAATGGTCGAAATTGCTGCAAGCTTTTTAATTTAAAGGCTGGTTCCAACAGTTCAAATCCAACAAAGAATTGGAGCTAGATAAGTGTAAAATGTTCAAAATATTAAAAATTATATTTCAAAATATACGGATTAAAACGTTTAAGCTTAAATTAAACATCATATATTATGAGAGCATTAAAAGATTTACAACAACAAATAAATACTTGTTTATTTGGACTTACATGGAAGTTTCTCCACAGCCTTCTTGACGGCATCTCTGAATTCACTCAGCATTTCACTGGCCTGAATGGTCTTGTCTTCATTTAGGAATCTGTCCAGAGGATGTCTTTTCGTATGTCGTTTCAATGCAATACTGTAAAATGCTCCGGCCTCATCAAACTCCTGAATGTCTACTCGCTCCACAGGAATAGTCATCATCACATCAAATTCATCTGGTTCACAAATCTAAAATGTGACAGAGCAGATGTTGGTTGCTTTGAACTAAAGCTCTTTTATGAGCGTTGGCATGGTGATTAGAAATGTCAAGACCATATAGGCCTAATCGGCTATATAATTGTAATGTTCCACAAACGTGTCCAAACATGAATATTATTTTACTTCTCTCATGGAATAATTGGATATGCCTGCATGCATTTATCATATGTTGTAATTTTGAACAGTGATTTAATTAACTCGGACGTTCAGAGCCATGTCCTGAAAAAATAACAAAAGTGTTAAACAAGCCAGAAAATGCTTGATTTTTCACATATGACAGGCATCTGTGAAAATGCAAGCGTTTTCTGGCCTGTTTCTAATCTAATCTCACCGAGTATTATCTTTGTTTGGACATGCTCTGATTGATGTAGGTATGTCCTGTTATAGATATTGGGCCTCATTTATCAATCTAATGTAGAAACGAGCACAGATCCGTGCGACAGAGTTCACGTGTGATTCATGAAACATTCGTATGCCGCCAATCTCATCGTACGAATGATCCTATGTTGATAGCCTATGTTGATGTAGCCTAAACATGGCTTTATACTTCACTCATGTTCTAATATCGTGTAAAGTCCTTCACATGTGCAAAACATTTTTGTTTGGGCGCTGCACGCTGATTTTACAGAGGACCTTTTAAAATAAACAGTGTAACTTTTATGTTTGGTTGACAATAACAAAGATTTTAGTTTGATAATGAATGGCTGAAATGTCAGGCAACGGTAGAACTAATGTTTGTGTGTGTGTGTGTGAGGCGCCTGTGTGATCAGATGGATTAAATCAAATAAAGATATAAAGAAAAGACATAAAATGCATTAAGAGTGTTACAAAAACGAGCGTAGCCTATACTTGTTGCAGTGTTTTTTTCCCTTTTGTTAATCTGTTAATTATATTATAGCCTATTATATATGTTGTGTGATCCTATTTATTTTATTCCCTTTATAGACTTAATTTCTGTTTTTTTCCTTTCACAGAAGTGCTGCAGGTGCATGATGCGACGATTGAATCCTCATGTTCTTGTTTACAGCCCTGTATAAAACCAAAAAAAAAGGACATTCTAATCTTAATGGTTAACGATCGACTAATGAGCTTCGTTTAACGGTCAGGAAAATAAAAATGAACAAAATACGATGGCCGAGAAGTGCAAAGCAAATCACAATTCTGAAAACAAAATAACAAATTACAAACGCAAATGCAAGTCTAAAAAACAAAATAATTCAGAAAGCACAACAACAATTCAGAAAACATTATAACAAGTCAGAAAACACAATGACAAATTCGAAAACAAAATAACAAGTCAGAAAACACAACGACAAATCCGAAAACAAACTAACAAGTCAGAAAACACAACAACAAAACAGACAAACCGGAAGAGGTAGGTATAGTTTGAGACAGCGCCATTGGTTTGGGATTACTCACCGCTGACTGGACGAGACATCTGTCAATCAACATATACAGGAAGAACCAGCCGAATAACAGCAGAGTAGTGGTAGAAAGTTCGGAGATGGTATTAAAGTAGCTCAGTTTAAATGTATTGTATGAATTGCCCTTACTATGGAATAAAAATACGGGGTGTCTATTTACGTTTAGTTAAAAGTGTCTGTAAATCATCAGCTCCAGTGGCACAGATGGATAAGCGCATGTTGTTGGCTTTTTGACGCATTCGACCCGGGTTCGATCCCATCTTTTGCCGAACTTTTTTTCCTCCCTTTTCAAATCTCGTATTAGCAATGGATTCTATTTACACTAAGTGAAAATAGCAGTATTTTTAGCAATATGCTATTTACACTAAGTGCAAATACCTATTTACACTATGTTAAAATAGCAGGATTTCTACTATCAAGTATACTACTTGTTGCAAATAGTGGCAATTATCTGCACTTCAGTATTGTAGTACATTATAAAACAGTAT